GCTAGCCCGCCGCTAATGCCGCGGCCAAACACATAAATAACACGTCTGAAAGTGAGGCGTTACACTCAGATATACCGAAATATAGCACAAACTCACCTGTTTTAATATGCATCTCTTTTCGCTTGATGTGTCGTTGAAGCTAAACCGTTGAGTAACTTGTTTACAGCGTTGAGATAACGACAGCAGCCTGCTTGTAACCACCACCCGGAAGCGACACGAAAATGTGGGTGGGACAGGAAGTGCCTGCAGATAAGTGGTCCGGCGGGAATGTCGCGGTGAATTTTAACCCTCCACTTCACACATTGTGATAGTGTATGCTTAAAATTATTCAGCATTATTTTCTGACACATTTTGGACCATTTTACTGCCAAAACAAAAAAATGTTATATTTCAGACACCCGTTTCCGAGATATATCCACAACGTTGCCCGTAGGCAACTAGGCTTGTATAAAACAACAGAGGCAATTACTGACTCATTACACAATTGTTGGAAAGCAATAAAAAACATAAATCGTCCAAAAATGTCAACCAATTTTGATCAAAGAATTGAAAAACACATTTAGATTATTTAGCTTTATGGCTTGATACAGGCTTAAGTTCGAATTGTCCAATATAATGTCATATTGATTCTCATGTTGTGAGACTTTGCTGTCATTCTGTGTGAAACTTAACAAAAACAATTTTTTGTGCTGTAAAACAGAGCCACACATTACACTTTATAAACATTACCTCTGTTTTTTCTGTGCACCCGGGAACCCTGCATCTTGCCTTGTTCTATTCAATTCAATTTATATTGTAATGCAATTAACCTATAACAATGCAGAGAAAACCCTGACAATTAGACGAGCCCCTATAAGCAAGCACATGGCTACAGTAGAAAGGGAAAACTCCCTTTTAACAGAAAGAAAGCTCCGACAGAACTAGACTCAAGGATGGGCGCTGTGGGTCTCTGCTTCCTTGTTTTCTCTTCATGCTTTTGAGATATCCCACACTGGATTTGCTCAGACTTTGAGCAATTTTGCATTTAAAACCACATTTTCATTTTCAGGTGCCCCTACACCTGGAAGCTCAGACAGATGGACACACTTTCCAATGTAAACTTGGGATTGTAAAAATAATAATCTGATATCATTATTATTACTTGGTGCTACACGAAATAATATTATTATGAACAAACACACAGTTATCAAAGTCTTCCTCAAAAGTACACAAAGAAAAACTGAATTTCTGATCAGGCAAAGTAAAAAAAACAAAATTAAAAACAAAAACGCTCTCCACATCTTTTTACACTCACACATATTTTTGATTTACAGTTTATGTCATTTTAAATATGATTATTAGAGGAAATATTCTTACCTTCTTCTCACATCATGCGATCGTGTCACTGTGTCAGAAAAGGAGGCCCCATGTTCAAATCACGCTTGATAGTGATTCCCACATCTTATTGAACTGAAATTAGATACCTTTCCAAACATTCTGATTGATCATTTAAGTTCACATGTACTGGGTCTGAGGCTTAAAAATGTTCTGTGTTGTGCTGTAGAGGATTAATGTACAAAACAGACTACAATAACATGACAACTCATGTGAAAATCATGTGGACACTTTATGTCAGATACAATTTTGTGATTATTATTGTTACAACACTCATTACATTACTTTTTCATTATTCCACAAAATGTCCTGAAATTTTCAGGACATTTTAACTGTCTTATAATACAGTTAACCACTTAACCCCTCTGAGGTAGTGTTAGAGCATGGTTCTTAAGCCCAGGTCCTCTGCCAGAGGCCTGGAAGTTTGAGGGTTCTGCACGGTATCTTTGCTGTTCCTAGGTCTGCAGTTTTCTGAACAGACACCTCTGTGACTGTGGAATCTTTAGAGCCACGCTTACAGCTTGGCAGTTGCAGCTCTTAATGCTTCTATTGCCACCGGGACCAGTTGTTCTTCTAGCCACTGTTACTTTTCCTGTGCTCCATCCTGATGTTGCTTTCAGCTGGGATTGCCACACATGTCACAGCTGTGATCTTCTGTTCCTTCCGAAGCACCACTAGATCTAGTTGGTTGGCCAGCAGCTGCTTTTCTTAGCCCTGTTGTTCTCAACCACCTTTGGTGGTTAATTGGAGACTTCAAATCCATATAATAATAATGGATTGCATTTACAGTGGCTT